CCACTTTTTCTAGACTTGTCCCTTCCTTGAAAAAACCGGTAGGGAGGGGGCGTTGAAGTGATCCTCTCATGTTAGGGTGAAAGCATGGGAGGAGATGAAAAGAAGGAGCCATGTTCAATTAAGCCAGGCCTGTATTTGAGGCCTGCTCACTCCCGGCCCTTATTACTCTGCCTCCAGACTTCTCTCTTCTCCAGCACCTTCATGTGGGCTGTGAGTGGGCTCTCACAACTTCCCCTTTAACTGTAGATTACTCTCGGGGCTTTGGTGGCCGTTATGGAGTGGAGAAAGATAAAAGGGACAAAGCAGCCTTGGGATATGACTACAAGGGAGAGACGGAGAAACACGAGTCCCAGAAAGGTGAGTTGGGTTGGGAGGAGGGAGGCTACAGAGTGGCCTAGGACCTTTCTTCCTTCCTTCCTGGAAGCTGACCGGATGCAGAATGGGACAGAGGGACAAGTGGGAGCAGGTGGGGAGGACAACAGCAGGATTAAAAGCCAGAAGAGGAAGGAGTCTCCCAGGCTCTGCTTCACACACAGCAACACAGAGAAATTGGCTGGAGGCCTGTCCTTTTTCCCCCTATTTCTTCTTTTACATTTCTCTTGTCTATCACTTGTCTCCTTTCCCTCCCACCATCTCTCTCCTCATTCTTTCTTAACTTTTCTCCTCCTCATTCTTTTTTCTTTTTCCGACCCTGCCTCTGTTTCTGATTCTCCCATATCTCTTTCTCCCATATCTCCTTCCCATATTTTCCTCTCATATCTCTCTGTCCTCCACAGTCCTGTCTTCCCATCCTTTTCCCCACTGTTCCCTCTACCCACCCATTTCCAGCATTTTAATTTCCTGTTTGACTCTCAGAACTTTCTTACAGATTATGCCAAAGGCTTTGGTGGCCAGTATGGAATCCAGAAGGACCGAGTGGATAAGGTAAAACATCAGGACATCCATGTCTCGAGAAATGTTCCCTATGCACAGAGAACAGTGAGAGGCAATGCTGGGGAAGGATGGGCCAGTGTGCTAGGTGCCCTGAGCCTGTCCTGCTGGGGTCCTACTCTCCCATTGACTGTCTTCAGCATCTACTGGCCATGAATTCCAAAGCCTGAGCTTTAACTGAGGAGAGTATAGGGCAGCAAGGAGAGACAGAGAGGAGAGATAAACCCCAGGGGAAGGTGATGTTAGATGTGAAGTTTCACGGATTGCTTGGCATTGCTTGACCAAGTCTTTAGTCTCTTTCTGTCCCGTGCAATTTTCCTCTTGTACATTAACTGTCCCTCCTGCGTTAGTTAGGGGTCCTGCTACATTCTAGGCAGCTGGGCTTGGAGATATGAGATTTTAAGTACATTGAGCTTCTAGAAAGGAGAGTTGAGCCCATCAGGTGAGAATATCTTTACCCTTCCCTGATACAAAGCAAAATTGCAGAAGCTTGTGCTACTGTTGAGCACCAAATAGTTAAGGGATGCCTTCTACAATGGTCCCAACACCCAGTACTGCCTTCTGCATCATGACCACTCCTGTTCCTTCCCCACACCACACATACCATTCTCTTACCTGCAGAGCGCTGTTGGCTTCAGTGAGATGGAGGCCCCAACCACAGCTTATAAGAAGACAACACCCACAGAGGCTGGTGAGTCTCAATGATTCACTCTTTCTATGATTGTCAGCCTCCTCTCCCTTCCTACCCTTTCTCCTGAGACTATCTTCCACATACCTTCAACTACTTAGATCAGCTGAGAATGACTTGATCGCCACACTTCTGGCCAGATTTTTTCTCCTAGAAAAGTAAGGTCAAGTGGACAGAGAGATAGAGTAGTGTCAGGGAACAAAATGGGGGCAAAGAACATGGAGGGGGGGTGGGAAACTACTTGGGAAGGGAAGATAGGGCCAGGAGCTGGTGGTGGCTAGAAGCATGGTGGTGCCTAGAAGGCATACAGATATAAGGAAAATGGATAGGAAAGGATGCTGGTTGGGGCACCAAGGCTTATTATAATTTAGGAAGGACATGAATCTGAGGTCACACAGACAGACCAAATGGAAATTTGAGCTTCAGGGCCAAACCATCTTCCTATAATCCCCATGGTCCTCCATTGCTACCTCCTTATCTTCCCCTCCAGGAGTTCCCTCCACATTTTCTCTCTTCCTGGATATTAACTGATTTTTCCTCCTTCAAACACGACTCCTCTCCTACTTCAAGAAGATCCTAATTTTTCTTGTCTATATCTGCAGCTTCCAGTGGTGCCCGTGGGCTGAAGGCAAAATTTGAGTCCATGGCTGAGGAGAAGAGGAAGTGTGAAGAAGAGGAGAAGGCACAGCACATGGCCAGGCAGCAACAGGAACGTAAGGCCGTGGTGAAGATGCACCTTGAAGCTCAGCAGCCAGCAGCACCTGTAGAAGAGCAAGTGGTGCCAGCCCCATTGCCCAAGAAAATCTCCTCAGAGGTAAGCACCTGGCCTCCAGAATCAGCACCCAGGATCTCTTGCTCAGATCTAAGGGGTTCAAATGATGGCGAGAGGGTGTGGTTTCACAGGCCTGTAATCCCAGCACTCAGGAGGCTGATGAAGGAGGATTGCCATGAGTTCGAGGCCAACCTGGGCTACACAGTGAGTTAAAGGCCAGCCTGAACTACATAGTAAGATCCTGTCTCAAAAAAAAAAAAAAAAAAAAATGGGCAGAAAATAAAGCAAAGGCCTCTCCTGTTAAGCAGGAAGATTGAGTCTGATTGTGTAATTGGGCTCATATACCAGACTGTCAGAAAAAATAAACAACAGGCTTTATACAGTACAACAGAAGGCAGGTCACCAGCAGGAACTGAGGTTGCAGGAACTGAGGAAGGAGCTATCACTTCAGGTTGGAGCCAATCTTGAGGGATGAGTTCCATCTGGATTGGCAGAGAATAGGAGGGGTTTCCTGATATGTGTTAGAATGAAGACAGTGCTTGCTGGAGAGATGCTTCATTCTCCACAGGCCTGGCCTCCAGCACAAAGTTATGCACCACCAGAGCCTAAGCCTGTGAGAGCCAGCAGGGAACCAGTGCCCTCCCTGCCCACAAGGCAGGGTCCCCTGGAGGTAAGCAATGCCCAGACCTTCTCTGCCCCCTACCCCACTCCTATATTTTAGGTATAGATGACCAACCATCCTGGTTTGCCTGGTACTGTTATGGTCTTAGCTCTGAAAGTCTTGCATTCTAGAAAACTCTGCCCCATCCTCAACAAAGTAGGACAGCTGGTTCTCTCAGCTCTGTTTCCCAAGGGGCCTTAGCTTTCATGTTTTCCTGGTCTTCCAAGGACTCTGACATGCCTTCCACACCCCTTACACCTTTAACATTCTTCTCCCATCAACTCTAGGTAGGTGTTTTGAGGGGTGGCTGTGGCGAGGCTGGAAATGCAGGCGAGGCAATGGACTGTGTTCCTAAGGAGAGGCTCTTGGGGGAAGGCATAATCAGTAGGGCTGTAAAGATGGTGGGGTCTTAGAGATCCCCCACAAAGCCTCCACTGAATACTTCTGTTGAGTGGAAGTCACCTGCTCTACTCTATCTCTTTTCAGGACAATGAGGAGCCCCCAGCTCTGCCCCCTAGGGCTCCAGAAGACTTCCAAGTGGAGCAAGAGCCAGTGTATGAAGCAGCACCTGAGCCTGAGCCCAAGCCTGAGCCTGAGCCTGAAAATGACTATGAGGATGTTGAGGGGATAGACAGGTGTGATGATGAGGCAGAAGGGGACTATGAAGATGTGCTGGAGCCTGAGGATTCTTCTTTTCCTACCACCCAGGCTGGTGAGTGGTGGTGGTGATAATTGGAGAGAAGCATCTAGATTTGGTCCCGTCTAAGAGAGCAGAAGAAGAGGAATTCCCACACTGCCCTGTAGGATCTCTGTTTGCCTTCACGATGTTGGTGAGACCATGTTTGTATTCTCACCATGCAGGATCATCAGGCAGCCAGGCTGGGGCTCTGGGGATCTCAGCTGTAGCCCTGTATGATTACCAAGGAGGTAAGTTTGGAGGGCTCCAAGGAGCCAGGTGCCTGGAGGATCTGATCCAAGAGAGGGGGATGGATTCTGTGAGTCAGGGAAGGGCTTAACATTAAGAGGAAAGCCAGGCCCATTTCCTTCCCTGAGGCTTAGAGTGGGCCTGGGGAAACATGGAGGGGTTCCCAGCTAAGCATTCTAATGTTCTCTCTGCTTTTTTCCCCAGAGGGAAGTGATGAGCTTTCTTTTGATCCAGATGACATCATCACTGACATTGAGATGGTGGATGAGGGCTGGTGGCGGGGATGTTGTCGTGGTCACTTTGGACTCTTCCCTGCAAATTATGTCAAGCTCCTCCAGTAACTGGCCCTCACTGTCTACTGCAACTATGACTTCCTATGTCCATAGTGGCTGAGCCTCCACCCAATCCCATTCCTGCTGCAAGTGTCTGATAGACACCATGTGTTACCTGCAGTTCTGGGCAGACTTCCCTCTCCTGCTTTATGAAGGGCTTTGGGTGGAGATAGCATGAGGAAAGGGGGTCTCCTTCCCCTCAGGGTCCTATCAGGCATGAGCTAGAGGACATTTATCTTGTGGTCCTGGTTCCTTCCCCAAGAATGTCCCCAGTAACATCCCAACTCTGGTGTCCTCCCTTGTGAGAACTAGGCTCCCCAGTTTGCCTAACTGGGAAGGTAGGTCTAGACTGTCTGGCTTTCCTGGTTGTGCTTTTAGCCCACTTCTCATCCCTGCAGGTTATCTCTGAACCTTCTCTCTGTTCAGCCCTAATACTGGAAATAAAGTAGGACAATTGCTCACCTCTATGCAGATGTAAACAGTACTTTTTGTGCAGCCTTCAATGGCCCTGTCCCTCATGGCTTCAATTCTCCATTCCTCCTCTAGGCACATCCAGATGACTCCCTCTTACCACTGGCCATCCCCTTGCCCTCCCTCTGGCATCCTGAATGTCAATGGGTAGGCCTTTTCTTTTGGCTCCACTTTAATCCCAGTCCAAAACAGACCTGCCTATGGAAGGGCAGTAAGGTGTGATAGCAGGGGACCGGGTGTCCATTCAACTTCTGCTGGCTTTAGAAGCTGTGTGAGGCAGGTCACCTGCCTAGGATTAATGACTACACTCTCTCAGCATGTGGTGACTCTTGAAGAAGCACAAATTATAGGATAGGAAGGAGAAATAGGCAGATTTGACCATCAGAAAATATTAAAGCTAAAGGAGGACAAACTCAGATGAGGTTGGAGAGGATTTAGAGCCAGAGACAGTGGCCTTTGCCAGTCTGGGCTCCCTTCTAGCAGGGTGACTAAAATCAAAGTCCAAGAAAGAGAATGGATGGAGGTAGTACTGGGAGCTTCTGTGTGGTCCAAAGCCAAAGGACATAGGAAGAGAGGAGAGGATAGTTGGACAGCCAGTGATGGGCAAAGCAAATCACCAAGCAAAATATGAGAGTGAGGGAAAATAAGGTGCCAGGGCAAGGTGGGCTCATCAAGCCTCAGCCTATTGTGCTCAGCTTCAGCACAGCCAGAGATAGGAGATCTTAGAGCACACTCAAAACAAAAGCCAGGGATTTGGTGTAGGGCACCTTTGGTTGGAAGGACATAGACATCTGTGCTGTTACCAGTATAGAAAGTTGGCTCCAGCTCTCAAAGACAGAGAAGGCATTGGCATCAAGGAAGGCAAGGATTAGGGGGTGAGACCCATAGTTGCTCAGGCTGCATAGAGCTGGTGAGATGCTTGTGTGTCTAGAGTGCTTCAGGCTCCAAGTTTGCTCCTTGGTGTTTCTTCAACACAGATGCACACACGCACCACACATGCACGCACACACACACACACACACACACACACACCCCACACCTGGGTTTCAACAATGACTTCTGTGCCAGGGAATCACAAGTCTATCTCTAGGCCTAGCTCACAAGATTTACCTAGCTCACTAGACCAAGCTCACTTAGCCTTCCAGAGTCCAAAACAGATTTTATGTCCTCTTCTAGAAACATTGGGATTTCTAGGACATGGAGACAAGTTGTTATGGATGTGTGCAATATCCTTCTTCATTTTGTTTGATTTGATATCACACAAAAATCAGACTTTTAGAATGGTTTTCCTGATACATCTCCATTTCTCACTTTGCTTTTCATTTTCTCTTTGCAAAACAGAAACATCTTTTCCAGATCCCTCTGCTGCTAAGGCCCCAGGTCCTCTTTGGCTCAGTTCTAAAGAACTTACCCTCATGAGGGAGAAAGGAAGAAAGGGACAGGAAAAAAGTAAAAATAGAAGGAAAAAAATGGAAAGAAAGTTTTGTACATAGGGAGGGGGAGGGGCTTTGAGCGCAAGAAGGATAAAATAAAGTAAAATAAAATTTATTTTTAAAAAAATTTACCCTCACACTTGGCTAGTCTCAGTTATGGCTTTCTTTCTTTCCATCCATCTTTCTTTCTTTCTCTCTCTCTCTCTCTCTCTCTCTCTCTCTCTCTCTCTCTCTCTCTCTTTCTTTCTGGTTGCCTTTCTCAATGGTGACACTCATCACGGGCCTGCTTTTACATGTCTCCTTATCCAGCCTCTACTCCTGCAGCACAGCCCTCTTCATCCCCTTCGGTGCTTTTTCTTTCTTTTTATTTAAATTGTACTAGCGATCAAACCCAGAGCTTTGCACATGCTAGGCAAGCCACTGAGCTACATCCTCAGCCCTTTTATAAATTTTTATTTTAAGATAGGATCTCACTAAGTTGCTCAGGCTGGACTGAAATTTGCAATCCTCCTGACTTATCCTCCAGAATGCTGGGATTACAAGTGTGCCCCACAATGCCCAGCTCCTCGAGGGCATCTTAATCTGAAGTCACATCTAGCTCTCTTGCCTCTATCAGATGACACTTGTTCCCCACTCTGCTCACTAGAAACTTCACCTTGTGAAGCAAACCATCTATCTAACTCAGCCTCTTTAAAAGGGTCTCCGTTAGCTACACCTGCACATGCCTTGTGAAATGCACTTCTTCCTAGGGACCGAGGATACCTGCAGCACTGGCTTCCAGCAACACAGACAATTTAAAAATCATATAAAATGTGTTTAGTGATGTTGATCAATGTGGTACTGCTCTGAAGGCAGCAATTAGGAGAAGAAAGTGAGGCTGGAAGTGTGACACATGGAGCAGGTGTGAGCAGAGTTCTATCCTGACTGCTTTCCTGGACCTGGGCTGCCCCACCTGCCCAGGTTGTACAGGGAAAGCCCTCTGCCCTCCTCGGTGTTTCTTCAACACACACACACACACACACACACACTCATACACCTGTCTCTCTAGTATCCTGCTTCTCATACATGCAACTATAGCCCTTGATGTTCATCTCTATCTGTCTGTAGTTCCCCTTTGTCTCTTTTTCATATATATATATATGTATGTTGGAGTTTGGGATTCTTATTTCTCTGTGTAGGAAAGGCCAGATTAAAAACACATGGAACTGATAGGAGGAGAACTCTCTTCCTTCTTTCCCATTTCAGTGTCTAGTAGTTTTCAGTTACTCATCTTCACTGAATAAAAAACCAAAATCACACTCTACAGTTTTCAAAAATGGTAGCTTGTATACAAATGCAAAATATAAATGAAACAATAAATATTAAGAAATAGAGAATAACATTACCAAATGTACCAAGTGGCACAATATAATGAAAAAAATTGAGGCTATTTCTGCTCTGGGACTTGCTCTACTTCCATCGTGACTCTTTGGTGAGGTGGAGTTTGCTTCATCTGTGCCAGCTCTGGCCCATGGTCAGAGCAAGACCCAGGTAACAACAACGCCCAGATTGACGAGACTCTTTCTTTCATTGGCTAAATTCTTTTTTTTCTGCTTCCTTACGATGCCTGTCCCATTTTCCCTCTTTCTCACTTGCCTGAGAACTGCTGGTAAAATGGCACCAATTAAGGTAAGAGGGATACAAACACAACAAATAATTCAAACTTTCTAGCTTCAATTATATTACCTGGGAGAGAGTAGAAAGGTTATATTCTTGCATGCGGCTCAAGGACATAAAGTCATATCAAGCAAACCAGCCCCATCTAGTTCCCAACTTGGTATTACTAGATAAATAAGAACTACATTAAACCGTAGCCATTTTCATTAACTATGTGAGGCTATATTTTGCTGTACTAAAAAAATAAGTGTATTCTAACTCACTGTCACTTCTACAACATACTTAGGACAGTGGTTCTCAGCCAGGACCTATTTTGCTCCCCAAGGACATTGGGTCTGGAGATCTTTTTTGGTTGTTTATTATGGGGGTGCTACTGGCATCTAATGGATAAAGGCCAAGGATGCTGCTAAATATCCTATAATACATGGGACAGAGACAAAGAGTTATGACAAAAAGTTATCCAGTTTAAAATCTCACTAGTTTCAAGGCTGAGAAAACTTGCTGTAGGAGATAATAGTTTTTATTATGTTTTAAAATTTCTGTTCTCACACATATTCAGTTTGTTACCAAAAATAGCAGTGTCATCCATTTTTGACAGGCTGGAGGCATGACCAGTAATTGGTAGGAGCAATTTTAGGAACCCATTATATTATTATCTTCCTCTCCAAAACCCCAAACAGTACCCCAGGGGTGTCTAGGACCTGATGGCTGATACTACAAGGACTTCAGTGGACTTTGTCTGGACTCTGCTGTATGTGTGATGTCTTTGGACCACCCTGTGCAATCTGACATGACACTGAGGTTGGTGTTATGAATTGATGTCACTTCTGATGACATGAAGTGACACTGGGCTATGCCTGTGCCATCCCTAAGCCAGGCCTAGAATGTTCTTTTTAAGAAAGAACATTCTCAACTCTTAAATCATTATTAAAATGTTCAGAAGTAGACTTGTGTCTTTATCCCAATTTTCTCCATAAATACAATGTCTCCTCTGGGCTCTCCTTAATTTTTCAAAGCTTTCCTTCTATATGTTGCCAAGATTCTACAGAATAAATTCAATGGCCTCATTACACTCTCATCTTTTGGTCTGTGATGCCCTCATGGCAGCTCTGTTCGGTTAGGCTGAGCTGAGCCCATCTGGGCTTAGAGGCAATAAGGGGACTAAAAGAAGCCCTGGAATTTTCTGGAAGACAGACCTGACTCCAGAACCTTCAGGCTGGAAGATAACTCTCTGCCTCTCAGTTGCTGTCCTGCATTGTCTGCCACATGAGTTTGCAAGTGCTTTGTAAATTAAAAAGCCCTAGGTAAAATCACAGGCTTATTCTGGTTATGGAATTTTATTGTTCTCTCATCTCCACAGGATCTGGGTTCATTTTCCAAATGGCCTCAAGTTACTTATTTTCTCTTCAGACTGATCTATTTAAAAAAAGAAAACAGACATCAGTGTGGCACTGTAGTACAAGCCATAGCTTAGGAAATTTTTATGCCAAGTGCAAGGTTTGAAGGACATTGCATGTTTTAACACCCAGAGATGCAGATGCACAGCTACGGAGCTGAGTCCACAAACCACACACTGTCCTGCTTTTAACAACTCCAAGGAGAAGTCCAAGCATGGTAACATCTGGATCTTTAGGTGTGTCTTCCTCTTGATCTGGCTCTAAAGGTGGAAACTAAGCTCTCCTGGGCCTGCTCACGGGGTTGGCACATGCTGGTCAAACGAATCGGGTCGGTCTTGTGCTCTACAATGTTGAAAGGACACGCCTTCAGGTGCTCAGACATGGAAGTAACTTCATTAAACTCCCAGCTCTTGATTTTGGAGAACAGGCTGCTGAATTGCCAGATCTGTTGGGAAAGACAGAAGTTCAAAGGTGAACCAGGCTATTCCCTCAGGTGCACCATGTATAAACAGTATTAGGAATGCCTCTCTTCCTGTGCTTAGCTTCCGCTGCTCAGTGGCCGCTACAGATATTTATCAGTTTCTTCCCCAGCATCCAGTTCCTAGCTTCCCCTTCCAGTTAATCATCTGCCCATCCAGGCTTGTAGTTGTGTTCTACTGACTGTCACCAATCAGCATATTGACACACGTCCTCCTCTGCTCCTCCACTAGCACCAGTGATTGGTTCTACAGTAGATACAGTTTGAATCAGGACAACTGGCCCCAATAAGACTTGACTCTAGAACTTTGGTTTAAGATATCCAAAATCAGATTATCTTTTTCCTTCTGTATTTGAACTGGGAAACTATAGTTCAAAAAAGGGCCAGCAATCACCAGAGACCACCATGGAAGAACAGTTGTAGAATGTAGCCAACATTGAGAAAGTATAGTTAAAAAATAGGAAGATAAAGGTCACTTGGGGGGCATTTTTGAGCTTCTGGGTCAAGCCTTACCTGAAGCTAATGGGTTTTAGTTATATAGGCTAATACATTACCATTTACGCTACTTCAGGCTGGTTCTCTGTAGTTTGAGAGTAAAAGTACCCTAACTAATAAAAAGTCTCACTAGAATAGGAACTCCCAAACAAATATTCCATGAGTCTAGTACCCATAAAGTACTCTATGGTCTCTCCACCTGGAATTGGTGGCAAAGTCACTAGTTTTAAAATCTGGATTTAAGAGGAGGCATAAACTGAGATCTTTTAAACTTGACTACATCATCCTCAGGTTTTTGTTTTGTTTCCTTGTATAGGAAAGTATTTGCTGGGAACTTATTATTTTCCCTTTATTCCTTTCTGCAAGGAAATTAGTTTGTCCCAAATGATATCCAAGAGTGGTCAGCAAACACTGGGTTGGGAACCAACTTGAACCAAAAGGTAATCAGATTCTTAGCAAATAAATGAAATTATTTGCATTTGATTTTATAGAGGAAGATACAGTATTACATAGGTTTTTATGTTGTTGTTGTTGTTATTGTTTTGATTTGGTTTTGGTTTTTTGAGACAAGGTCTTCCCATGTAGTTCAGGCTGGCCTCACTATTTAAACCCAAACTGGCCTTGAATTTGTGGTGATCCTCCTGCCTCAGCCTCCCAAGTGCTGGGATTATAGGCTTGTCAACCACACCAGGCTTAGACAGTTTTAGAAACAACTATTCCTGAAGGCAGTATTGTGGTCTTATTCAGGTTTATCCCCAATACATGGTTGGTATTCAGAGTTTAATACATGGATGAATGTAGGCATGGATACATTAGGGAGAGCCATTAATTATATTTTGAAGAAGACTGCTCAGGAAATCAATAATGGAAATATATAAGATAGATATTTCAGACATAATAAAAATCAACTCTCAGATGCCAATTTGCAAATACATATTAAGAAGAAATACCACAGTGAGATTAGTGAGATTATAGAATTATTGACCTCAAAAGATATCATATATTTATGATGCTATTACCAACATATTTACTCTGAGAAAGGTTTTTATAGGTACCTTGGATATGATGAATTAAAAATCTCACTTATGTAGAAGTTATAATACAGCTAAACAAATAGTATCCAACTGAGAAAAAAGGACAAGATTTTACTGAAGGGAAAGTCTTTGATTTAAACAGTGGAATTTTCTGAAAAATTAAATAAGCATTTGAACCAGGGGGAATCAGTGGACCGAATTCATTTAGCATTTCAAAATCCTTTTATTAAAGGCAAAAAACTACCTTAAAAAGTTAATTGAGGGTTAAAGCTGTAGCTCAGTAGTAGGGCACTTGCTTAACATGTGCAAAGCCCTGAGTTCAATCCCCAGTACTGCAAAAATGAAAACAAAACTTTTAAAAATTAATTGACATAGCACTGAGAAGAATTTGTTGCCCTCTCGTATCAGAGTCCAAGCAGGAAACATATGGCACGCTTAAACAGGGTAACTTTAAAGGATTTTTTAAAGAATGATGTTTAAAATTCATGGGCATAGTAAAGGAAAGTCACATGATATGGAAGGGAAGAAGGAGGTTGGTCCTTGGAACCCAGAATGAATAACTGTGTGGAGAGAGTCTCCTGATACAGACACCTTCAGTGGAGGGACATAACCAGTTCAAGGTGCCATGCAGGAAAGAAGTCAGAAGAACAGATCCCTCAACCCATGCTTCCCCTCCTCAATGCCTCCCATTGAATTAGCCCAATTGGAAGCTGAAAGGCAAAGGGCCCAGTTGAGGCAATCTGCAGAGGAACAGCAGACAGATGAGCTGTAGAAAGAGCTCATCTTCTACAAAGTTTTCTGAGCAAACAGAAAACATTCAGAACATACAGACAGAGATACAGGCACTAGCATATATATATATATATATATATATATATATATATATATATATATATATATATATATATTTAACCTTATCATATTCCTTAGCAGATTGATCTTATTGAATCAGTCATATTTGCAGGAACTGTACAGTGCTTGGCACATTGAAAACTCTCAATAAGTATTTGTTGAATGAATGAGTATTAACTTGCCTCTCTGTGGACTTTCCAGGAAGTTCCTCCATGGGAATATTTCTTCTTCTTCCATTGCAAGAGGACCATTCCTCTCTCTTGTAACAAAGTGGCACAGATATTCCTCATCAGTGTGGATACCTGTGAGAGCTGGGACAGGCTGATGCTGTCCAAGAACCCAGCAATGTACTGCAAAACCTCCAGGGGCAGGTTAGTTAGACAATTCTGGCTTTTTCCTCCATGGCCTGAGAGATGGTTGTTCTTCCTTCCCTCACTCAGCTCTGGAGCAACCTCTGGCTTGATGGCAAAGGTCTTGAGCTCTCGACTGTAGATGACTTTTGCCTTTTGCCCTGGGGGACGGAAATGGTTTTGAACAAATGTACATCCCAAGTAGGCGAGGGGGCATCGATGCTGGAACCAGCCGTTGAGGCCTGACTGAATGTCTGTGTGGACGTTCTTGAAGTGCAGGGGGAATTCATCCCTTCTGAAGAATTTGTTGCAGGTGAAAGTAAAGGTGGAGCTGCTCTTGTTGTGTCTCCTGGTGACACACTCACTGTGGAGCTCCACGTGGAGTCCCCCCAGGTTAGTTGTGCTAAGGAGGTCAGCTAGCACTGTCCCAGAGGAAAACTGTTCTGGCTCAAAGTTGTATGTCTGTGTGGCAAAATCCATGAACAGCCCATCAATGCTCCTGGATTCAGAGATGATGTGGCCTTTGAGTTCTCTTTCCAAAGCACACTGGAGGGTGGTCTTGATGAGATCTGATTTGGGCAGGTCCTCTATAGTGATCCCCAAATCTGAAGTATCCACAGCCTTGTGTTCACTTGGCCTGCAACTCAACATAGCATCTCCAAGCCGAGCTCGCTTTCCACAGTAGCTCACAGGAACTTTGAAGGTGTAAACAGTCTTAACTTCTTGAGCCTCAAGGTTGCCATAAACAAAGTCTCTCTCCTTGGGTGTACAGGCAGGCATCTGACCAAAGTGAATGAGCATCCGCCCATTGTGCACTAGATACATATTATAGTCCTTTGCATCCACAGCTGTTTTCAGTCTTTCCAGAACACCATCCTGCCAGGGGGCAAGCCCTGTCTTTTCTATGACTGCAGACAAGTTCTGTTGCTTCTGGTCATCCTGTGGTTCTGCCCCTTTCGCAGCAACTTCTGTGTCTGTCATGTTATTGCCACTGGAACTGTGTTCTTTCCCTGCGGCTTTTTCACTCTTGTTTTCACTCCTTGTTGGTGTACTTGTTAAAGCAGAGGCTGCATGCTCTTTGCTGAACATGTTTTCCCACTGGTCAAACTTGGCCAGGTCCATCCCTTCTTTGGTTTTGGCTAATGCCTCTCGTTCTTCTTGGCTCAATTCTATCATTTCACCTTTAGCTGCTGCATGTGGTTCCAAAATGGCACCCACTCCCCCCACTGCTCCTGCCATTTCTTCCCAACTGGTTTCACCATTCATAGAGGGTTCCTCCTCAGTGGCATCTCTAGTTTCTGGGAAGAGTTCTACCATTTTCAAGGATTTGAAGAGGACCTTCTGGTCCTGTAAGGCAAGGGCTGTGTCCAAACACTCCTCACTCGGAGCCTCTTTCATGATGTTCTCATGAAGGACTGTGTCTGAGTCCACGTTTGGCCAGCGGTTCCATTCCATGGAGCAGCAGACTACACTGGCTGGGCACACCTGCAGGTGCTTGGCCAGCTTGTGACGGGACATGGAAAGGGGGCAGCCATATTCGGAGTTGAGGCACGGAACCTGCTCTAAAGGACACAGGAGCTCGTGCTCTGTCTCTTTGCACATGTGGAAAGTTGCACCACACAGCAGGTGGCAATTTATCACCAGGCAGGAGACACCAGGCTCCACAGGAACATGGCAGTGGTGGTTGATGCATCCCTCACAATGCCTGTGTTGCCCAGGTGGGGGCCTGTGTACCTTGCCCTGTACACACCACGGACAAAGGAAAAGAGAAAGCAAATGAATGCAGGAAGAGAAGCTCAATGCATGCCTGTGACTGTGCTTTAATTAATTCATTTCCTGTCTCTCTGTGACTGTCATAGGAACCTTGTAATAGTGAGAATCGTAGGAGAAAAAAATCCATTATAATCCCACAATCAAGGAATAATGACTATCAACACTTAAAATCTTTGAATAGTTTCTTCTACATATATAGTAGATATGTTTAGAATGGAAAAGGCTGAATGTGGGCTGGGGATTTAGCTCAGTTGTTTCATTGCCTGCTGCGCAAGAGCAAGGACCCGAGTTCGATCCCTGGTACCAAAACAAAAAAACAAAAAAATCTGAATGTTATGGAATACAATGTTGACAGTTGTTATTTTTGAGTTGTGGGTTATGGGTGATTTATATCATGTTGTTAATACTATGAATACAATTTTGTGTCTTCCCTTTTACTATTTATGTCTCCGCTTTTTACTATTGTAACATGAGACTAGATTATTTTATTAATTATTCTTTGCACATTTTCTTCATAATGGCAGTACAACATTCCAGAATATGGGTGTGCTGTCATTCACTCAGCCATTCACCTTCAGAGGGCACACTGGAGGCCTGCTTTAGCTCACATTTTCACCCTAGGACCTGGCATGGGGCCTGGATCATTGTAACTTCTCAATAATATTTGCTGAATGAAGGAATTATTAGCCATTTTGGCCTTTTGGCTAAGATCAAGTGTAGATTACTACTGGCTTTTTTGCTATTTTATTTTTGACATACTATTTATATATATTTATGGGGTACAGTATAATTCAATACACATATACAATGTGTTATGATCAAGTCAGGGTAATTAACATTTCATCTCCTCAAAAATGTATCATTTTTATGTGTTGGAAACCTTATTTTTAAATATTCACTAAAAATCTTTGCTCACAAATTGTTCTCAATTTTTTGCTTTCCCTTTATTCTATGTCAATTTCTTGCCAATAAATCAAACCACAAATACAAGTCTGTTAGCCATTTCAGCTACCAGTTAAATAAATCAAGACCTGAAAAAAAAAATAAATCAAGACCTGGACCTGTGAAAGTGAAGCTTCAGTAAAAATGTGTTACTTACCATAGCTTCTCAATTTGTCTTGCTTCTTAACTGTAGGGGGAAATATGAATATGAATGATTAGTAAGAAAAGTAGTGTGATTATTTATTTTAGCAGTGGCCAAAGAGACTTCACCTCTCTCATTAATTCCTCAACCATCCTGGAGAAATTCCCCCCATTTTACAGCCAAGGAAATGGAGGCTTTTTCCAAGATTACACAGCTGCTACATGATGAAATCTGACTTTTCCAACAGAGTCCATGCTGGCCCATCTTCTTTTCACAACCCACACTGTCCTCTGTTGGGGGCAACCATGCTTGTTGCTTCTTGTGAGTTTTCTCCATTGTCTACTGACAATTTTCCTGGCATTCCTACTGACCTTTCATCCAATCTGGCCCAAGTTACCCTCTAACTTTCTTTCTCACTAGAACTTCATGTCTACTGAGAGGTCAGCCTCATATTCATCTTGGTCCAGAGCAGTAACTTAAGTGCCAGTGACATATTTTATCACGTAACATTCACCTTAATGTCTTCAGCTGTCCTGTGGCCAGAGCAGGAGTCAAAACACCAGAGGTCCCAGAAGTCCCAAAGTTCCCCTAAGTGGGAACCATGGCACATGGAAGAAAAGATGCCTTGCCTTCAAGGGAATGAAGTAGCTTCTGAGTGCCTGGATGGCTAAGTACAATGAAATTAGTTCTGGGAAATCAATTCCCAAGGAGGCCTTGCTCAAGCAAGGGCCCCAGGAACTCTCTTCTCAAATGAAAGGTTAATACTTTTATGCCAGCAATGTGCCAGCAATGGGCCAAATCTTGCTGGCTCCTGAGATGCCCTCTTTTTTATCCCTATGCAAAATACTTGCTTTCTTTTTTCTTTTCTTTTTTTTAGTACATATTTCCAGTAAGTGATGATTATATTTACAATGTGGTAGGGAACATAGCACATCTTAACTCTCTTTTCTTCCAACTTTTAGTCCCCTTCCCATTGGCAAAAGATCTATTTCCACTTTTCCCCTTCAATTCTTTTTTTCCACCCTCTTGTCCTTCCCTCATTTATGGCTCTCTCCATATCCTGTTCCCCTTGCCATTTGAAAATGATCTCCCTATTTCTTATTACCTATCTTTTGTTTTGCTCTTTTTTATATTTCAGGTTTCTCTCTTCAACAATCACATCTGTTTTGGTCCCAACTTTAGAGATAGTTCTTTTTGGGAGAAGTTTTAAGTCTTCTAAATTTTTTCTGTTCTTTTTGTCCCCAATTCTCACTATAAATCTGGCTAAAAGCAGCTAGAAGTACTCTTGACACAACCTGAATATTGGGCTACCTTGAAATTTCATCTGCCAGATAAATTAGTTCACCCTCCTCAATCTCAGTCTTCCACAGTCTCAAGACATGGTCAAAATGTAGAAAATTTTTCTGCCAGAATGTATGAAACACACATGACCTCTAGACCAATTGTCAATGGTGCACTTGTTACCAGTTGAAACTTCCTGGGTCTGGCCTTTACTCCCCACATACTTATCAGCATTCTGGTTTTATTGTGAACTTATTGTAGAAATTCTTAAATATTTGACTAAAGATCCTGGAATTATTTGGTATACAATACGGAGCCATTTACATTGTAACTTGGGTGTTGACTAGACATAGCCAAGAGATAAATAGAGTAGGACGTAGAGTGATGGAAGCTTGTATGGATGAGAATAAAAACAATCAGATAGGATGAGGCAGAAAGGAGACATTACAAAGGGAGAATCATATTTTTGTCTCTGGCTGGAAATGGAAATAGAAAAGTCAAAGTTGATGCCAAGATTTTAAACCAGGAAGAGCGAATTTTGGCTATCATTTTGAGAAAAACAGAAGTCTTAGACAGAAGTACTTGTGGAGGAAAGATGGGTCCAGCAAATTTATTACACATCATGATAGATCAGATGGAGATCAGAGAACTCCCCTGACTGGGGAGTGAGGGCACAGAATAGACACCTGCACAACAAAATACATAGCTATGTATGACCACATTAGGGGAAATTGGGAAGAACTAGATCCAGAAAAGAGATAGAGAGCTAAGCAATTCAGGACTATATTGTCACAAATGTGAAGAATATGAAGAGTGAAGCCTCAAACGCCACTGCCAAGAATAATGACAACAGTGCCACTGCTTATGGGAGGTCCCCAAGAGCAATTGCCAGAATAAATTGGCATTTTAGCTGTGGGACCCTTGGCCATTAGAAATGTGGTGTTTTCTCAGAGGGGAGGGGAAAGCTATTAAGTGCATACTCCAAAGTTGGCAGGCTTATAGCCTGGCTGGAAGAATGTGACCATGTGCTTTCTATTCAGAGTAGCCATTCATCCATCACGATGTTGAGCGCAGTTCCAGGAAGAGAAAAGAAGGCTTGGCTACTTTAGAGGGCTTCATGTTTATAGTGAGAACTCTTTCCTGGCAGCAGGGATATGTCTGGCTGGAGGAACACTATGATAGCCTAAGCCTAGTCCTCTCACCTCCTTTGCAGTACTGGGGATTGAACCAGGCACCTTCACACTGAGCTACATTCCCAGCCTTTTTAAAATTTTTATTTGGAGACAGGTTTTGGTAAGTCACACAGTTGCCCAAGCTGCACTTAAACTTGCAGTTCTCCTGCCCCAGCCTCCTAGAATACTGGGATTACAGTCATGCTCCACCATACCCAATTAGAACCAATCCCTTCCTACCCTTTAGCGTTTAGTGTATGATTCCTAAGAAAGTGTTATTGAAGCTGGGAACAGTTGTGGTACTTTCTGGTACTATTTAAAAATCTGTCAGCCTCTGTAGCTCCAAATAAGTGACTTTGAGAAAGGACATGTGCTAACCAGAAATACATGGTGAACAGGGACCACTCTGGAAAAGTTTAGCAGTAGAAGGAAGAATAAGCGCAAATATTAGCCTAAGAGCATAAAATCACATGGAGCTCTTTTATTGTATATCTGGGAAAAACTGGTTTCAGTGAGAAAAGGATCAAGCCAGGATTCTTGATATTCTAATTAGTGCTGGGTGAATAGGGTGAACAATCATCCTGGTTTGTCTTAAACTTTCCTAGTTTAGCACTGGAAGTTTCATATTCTAGGAAACTCCTCAATCCTAGACAAAGTTGGACAGTCCATTGATCACCTTACGTGGGGCCAATCAGCATTGCCTCGGATGAATAATACTAGATATATCATTACCTTCCTTGTGAGCACAGTGACTGCACCCTTCATGGGGAAGGATTCATGGGGCTAATTTAACTTTCTTACACTGAGAGGTTTCTCTGTGTTTTGGGTGTTATGAAGGAACAGAAATAAGATTTTGGTGCCTATCATATGCATTTATGTAATATAACATCTCATTCAATCCTCACAACAACTGCAAAAGATAGTTATTACCCTTTTCAGTTTACAAACAAAGATACTAAGGCACAAACTCTTTAACTTTTGCTACAGCACACTGTGTCTTGGAGACCCACAGACACATCTGTGGTCCATTCCCATGATTTGGCAAGAATGCAAGTCTATAGCAACAGGTGGGACACAGAATGTAGTGTCCACATGTGTAATCTATCCAGATGAAAAAGTGCCAGTTTTCCTCCATTTAGGAAGCACCTTCATCTCTATATAGATTTTTTTTTTAACTCCTCTGGGCCACATCCCACATTGTGTCCTCTCTGAGTAGAGGGGAAAAGAGAAGCATCTAGGTCTGATGGTTTTGCATTTCAATGAATACAAATGTGAAAGGGAAGGTTTAGGGTTAAAAATCTGGACTATGATAGGGATCCTGAGATTTAAATGAAACACCAAATCAGTCACATAGATTGTAGAAACTTCACTGTGGAAAAATTAATAAAAATCTAAGACTGAAGCAGAGTATGGCTGTCCAAGTGCCATTTCCCTGTTTAATTTCCATGACCTGTGTTCTCCTTTATAAGGTGAACTGAAAAGGCAATACATCCCGGCCTCTTACTGATGAACTTCATTAGAGTATGTGGTGAAGGTGCTGTCCTCAAACTTTGAATTTTAAAGTGTCCCTGGTTAGGGGAGATAGTCAAAATAATGTAATTTAGACTTAAATAGTCCAAAGATCTATATAGACTCAATTTTACTGACTGTATTAGATGTCATTTAAGTGGAATATGAGTTGGCAGGAGTATCAGATGTGTGACTTTAAATAAGGAGTGGTTAATTCTCTAAAGAAATGGAGGACCATTTGGAATCAGGCAGGAGGAGAGCAGCTAGATTTGATGCAGGTTGAGGCACTGTGTGGATCACTCCAAAGCAGTAAATTGACAAAGCCAAGGCAGCCAGAACAGTAGTTCTTAAAGTGTGGTCCCCAGACCAACAGGATCAGTAAAACTTGGGAACTGGTGAGAAGTACAAATCTGAGGCTCTACCACAGACCTGTTGATTCAGATCTACTGAATCCAGAGGACTCTATGGAAGCTCACGTTTGAGAACCACTGAGCTACAAGCAGGGTGGTATTGTGTTCCCCAGGCACAAAGAAAGTACTGCAAGTTAGGTGTGAAGGGCTTGACAAAAGATCTGGAAAGGCAGTGTGCAATTCTATCCACCTCTTTCCATCTCTGCCTCTGCTGCCCATGTCCAGCCACCATGATCTCTCATCTGGAATAGCATGGTGGCTTTATAATCAAACTCACTTCCCCCAGCTTGCACCCATAATCCATATTTGCAAGCAAAGAGTGATTTTATCAATTTATAAAATTAGGTCTTTTCTCCTCTGCTTAAAATCTCCAGTGATTCCCACCATAAGAAACAAACTGTGAAGTCCTGATCATAGACCACAAGGTCTGAAGAAGCTGTCCCGTTTGCCCCCTTTCCTTTCCACTTGTCCTTGTGCACTTCGCTTTGCCTGGTCACTTACTCTAGCAGGGCATCTGTGTACTTGCTCTCTCTGCCAGGAAAATTCTCCCCTTGCTCCTTATTTGCACTATAAGCTTTTTCTTGCCATTTAGATTTCAGCTTACATCTTACTTACACCAAGAGCCTTATCTGATACCTCCATTACAAAGTACATCAGTGACACTCATGAATTAGCTGCACTCTTTGTGACAAGTTATTAATCTCCCTAAAGCTAATGTATTCATCCATGTAACAGGGCTCATAATAACCCATAAGCTTGTGTGAGCCTCAAGAGAGTAAAATAAGGAAAGTGTTTAGTATACAAAAGTTACTCAAGTGTTAGTCCTTCCTCTATGAGGAAGGCCATTCTTACAGTTACCTCCGTCAGCCAGGCTCCACTGCTTTCCACTGTGTGCCTCCTGTAGCCCTTGGCTAGCCTTCCAATTTTCTTCTTCTTGGGCTGGGGATTTAGCTCAGTGGTTCCACCACCTGCCATGTAGGGTCCCGAGTTCAATCCCCAGTACAAAAAAAAAAAAAAAAAAAAATCACCAGAGACCAACTTTCTTTTTCTTTTTTTTGGTCCTGGGGCTTGAACTTGGGACCTCACGCTTGAGAGGCAGGCAGCAGCATCACTGAGCTAAATACCCGGTCCTAGCCTTCCAATTTTCAATTCCCCATCACACCAATGGATCTTATACACCACTGCCAATTTAATAATCTTCAAACCTACTTTGCAAAACAACTCATCTCACTCTTTTCAAGAATGTAAATCCCCTTAATTTCCACCCCTTTGAGCTTCTTTAATCACCACAAAGAATTCCTCAAGCATTCAGAAATTCAGACAGTGCACTGGGGTCCGAGACTTTTTTTTTGTGGGAAGGCATTGTCATTAGAAGGCCTGGGAATGGGCAGCTTTCTTTCCTGACATTGGCAATGTGTTTACCTACATCTGTAATCCCTGCACTCAGGAAGCTAAGGCAGGGGAATCACCATAAATTCAAGGCCAGCTTGAACTACATAGCAAGACATTGTCTCAGAAAGGAAGGAAGGGAGGGAAGGAGGGAGAAAGAAAGAGAGAAAAGAAAACAAGGCTACCCCGTGATGAGGTCACCTCCCCACCTCCCCAAGCTGGACCAATTATCCCATGATAGAAGGGACTAACCCCCCCACCCCCAGGAAGAACAACTATTTCATGGGAGACAAACTGCCCCTCAAAAGGCTAAATGTTCAGGCATCATTTCTATAATTATTTACTAGAAAAATTTTTCTGATCGTGTAGAGTACTGCCGATTATGGACCAAAACCTCTTCAAACTGTGAGCTAAATAAACCTCTCCCCCTTAAAAAAAAACAAAACCAAAAACAAAACAACAACAACAAAAAACTGCCCCTCAAGCCATAAGGATTCTTCCAAAACTACAGAACCAGGCCTCAGCCCACCACAGGACCTTTATTTTTTCCAGTTTTTATTTTTTATAGTACCTGTTTCCAGCACATGATTACATTCAATGTGAGGAGTTGGCATATGCACATGACACATCTTAACTCTTTTTTTCAACATTTTCCCTCCCCCTTCCCTTCATCTCTTAATCCCCTTCCCATATGAGAAAGCTCTATCTCCCTACTTCTTATTTTCTATCCTTTATTTCGCTTTCTATTTATATTTTGTATTTCTCATGTAAGAGAAACCACGTGACATTTAAGTTTCTGGGTCTGGTTTATTTCACTTAACATTATGGTTTCAAGCGACAGCACCCTTTAAAACTAGTCCTTTTTCCTTGTTATTGGGCCAGATTGATCTTCTTCATCAGAGTTATGTCCTCTCCAGATCCTCAAGTTAAAATTCCTTTCCCACTTCTCTTACATTCCAATTATGGCTTACCTGTAAATTTGTGCTGATTGCCTCCATTTTAATTTCCATTATCACTGAAGCAAGGACCTGTGCTAGCTGGTAACAATAATACCTTGATCTTTGAATACGTGCAGGCTTACAGTCAGCAATCTGGAGCAGGCAGACAACCAGAAATCCTCTATTCCAGAGCTTCTCTGATTTAAGGTGTATAGGAATCACCTGGACCAATGCAGCTCTTGATTTGTGGGACTGGGGTGAGGCCTGAGATTCTCCCCTACCCCAGGCTCCAGACAATCCTGCTGGTTCAATCCAAGGGCCTTACTTTGAAAGGGAAGGGTCTAATTTCACTTCTTCACTTTTTAGAGGAGAAACGGGCTCAGAGAAGTAGAGTCTTACTGGTTACTCCCAGAGCCCCTGATTCTATCTCAAGCTTTTTCCCTACTTCACTGTGATGTTTTATTGAGTCGATAGAAAACATAGCCCCACACAGAGCTACCTGCATGGTGGTGGCCAAGAGCATGCTGGCAGCTTAGATGGTACCAAGGGCAGGACAGGACATAGCCTGAAAGAGTGAGAAGGTGGTGACCAATTGTCACAGGCCAACAAGGTCATAATAACACATATAGCAGGTATATTTAAGTCACTGACTCAAGTCAAAGAGAATGGGATTAACACATAATAGTTTTAACATTCTTTATTATAATTTTAAAGTTAGTGGCAAACAGGGTTGATGTCAGGGAGATATTTTTAGGCAAAGGGCCCTCTCAGCACCCCTCACATGATGTCAATGACTAACTATTCTGCCTCCTCATGTGGCTGGCCCTCACAATAATGATTCATTTCTGAGCTTCAACTTCAGTGAAAGTGACAAGGTCAGAAGTTCAAGGTCAAAGATATTCCTGAACTATTAACCAGCCAATTGATTAGCTACTTTAATTATTAAATTAATTATATTATTATACTTAACTATTACATAATTACAGTGTTAACATATTTCTTTGCTATGGAGTTATTCGATTCTAGAGAAAGAAAATATACAACATTGAGCATTAAAATAATCCTTTTGACTTTAGATTTTTACACAACCATGTGGCTGAGGATAATTTCCACATCTGGTTCCAAGATATCAAGCTTCCAGTAACTTCACCATGACCTAAAAACATAACTACTTCCCTCAGAACTACTTAACTTCTTAATCTGCTGTTCTCCACCTGCACTAGAAATCTGTCTTTAAACTTTTCAGTTATTTGCTTAGCTAGTTAATTCTCCTATCTGGTGCTATAGTGTTATCAATATTTTAAGTCACTGTGGCATTGGCCAAGGAAGTGCTTAATTAGCTGGATTACCTAGGGGCAGCTGTGAGTCAGCCTCTCTGCTTGATTACTCCTGAACTAACATACCCTCCTCTCACCAGGATGGTGCCCCAGCACACATTTCAGACCCTGGTGCCATGGAAACGTTGGCATAATTAAATGAGTTGGACAATTATACACAATGAATTTGCTTGTGCCTAGCAAACGGGCATAATTATAACACAGACACCTCCAACAGAGTTATGAGGTACATCTGGAGCTTACAGAGGCCAGTAAGAAGGAACCAAAATGAGGGTATCTGAGTAGTTGCTTTTGGTCTTGTACTTGGCATTGGTGGCTTTACCCTGAGCACTCAACGTTCAGGGATACAGAATCCCTTCTGCTGCATAGGCCATTCCCCTGATGTCCTTAGCTGAACTTTAAACCAGAGAAACACAAGAAAATGATCAGTGCTCCCTTACCTTTGCCAATTTTTTGTGCACGCAACACTGTTCAGTTATTCCAGAAGCTAGAAATACTATTTACATTTTATAGCTTTCAGTACCTCAAGCAACATTAGTCATTTTACTTTTTTTTTTGGTACCAGGGATCGAACTCAGGACCTTGTACTTGCGAGGCAGGCGCCGGAACCACTGAGGTAAATCCCCCGCCCAGTCATTTTATTTTTGTCCATCTGGGTGTGCAAGTTGGAAACAAGTTTTGGTTTGGATACATAAGCCTGTAGAGGGTTTTCAATTCATAAAATACTTTTTACTTACAGTTCATGGATGCATTTTAGATTCAAGAGCGCTAGGAAGGAGACAGCCACATTTATGGAATATTGTTAGAGAAAAACAGGTTTTAAACTGCAGGCAGGGTTTAAATGGTTCGTGCAGTAGGCACAATTGTGTTTCATTAACCATAAGTGGTGTGACATGGTAGGTGGAATTTAAGCTGCCTGGGAATGACTTGCAATTAACACAGAAGAGGTTGACTGGAGAAAGAGCACAGCATTTGAACTTTGGAAAATAGAAATTCTAGGTTATGGGTCTTCCACCTATTTCTCCACCATCTCCTTCCTCTCCCTACCTACCCCCTCCCGCATCACCACTATGTAACTTTAAAGACACAACTGCAGTGGTAGCAGAAAGAACCTAAGCTGTCAGAAAGCAGCTGAGATTCTGAGCTGCTCTGACTTTACATGTGAAATGGCTGGGTCTCATTCTCAGCACCAACCTTTTTCCTACCCCCACTTATAACAAATTTGCTGAACAACCCACTTTTCTGGGGCACAAAGGTGATGCACAGCAAGCCCCCACCCACCTGCTCTTTGTCTGAATGTCTCCACGATGCACCTGCTCATGTGCAAAAAGCTTACCTTAAGCATGGGCTGAGTCAGCATCTGCTACAACTGGGTCCCTGGACACTGAGCAAGATCACAGGCAGGTGGCTGCCGATGCATCAGCTGCAGCAGAGCATGGAGTTCTGTGGGGAAGGGAAGGAAAGGGGAGAAAACTTCAACAGAAATAGTTTGAGTGTTTCCAAGTTAAAAATAAAACTATATCACAAGGGGCAATGTGACCAGGCTCAGCTTACGACTTTTTCCCTTCCCTTGTTCAACATTCATTCTCTCCTGCAGTGGAATTTAGCACAGGAGACTGGATAGGAAGTGGGATTTTAGGCCAATGGGTTTTCTCTCCCTGAAGGGAGGAGAAAACCCCTTTGGAGAAGGATCTTTTCAAGACCAGAGCAGTGTCTGAGTCCCAAGTGTGTCTCGGGCAGGCCCAGCTGTGCTTGGGAAGGCTGGTGGAGCAGCCAGCTCAGGCCGCTGCTCTAATTATAACTGTGCTCCTCACCTAAGCCCATACTGGCTGAAGCAGCAACTTGGGCAAGTGACGTGCTGTTCTGCTGCAGTTTCTCCTATTTCTTGTCATGACAAGTAAGTGGCTGTCCTCTCCTGGTCCTTGCCTTTCCCAGGTGGCTGGGAAAGGGAGAGAACTTGTAATGTAGGAATCATGTAGAAAGCAAGTCCAGTGTACAGCATTAGAGGTGGTTGGAGCCTTAGCTATCATTTAGTCCAATTCTTCTTTTTACAAATGGAAAAAAGAGGTTCAGAGAAGGTGAAATGTTCATTTATGATCACATGGCTTGCCAGTGGAAAGACATAGTTCTAATTCCAAATCCAGTGGTCTTATGTTTCTTCAAATAAATTCATTCACCTATCTTCTGAGAAAAGAAAATATATAATCCTGGTTTTGCTAATTTCTTGGTATATGGCTTTGATTAAATTACATGAGTGTTCTTTTTCTCAGTTTTCCCAATTGTGAAATGGGCATGAGACTACTTGATATGACCATGTACATCAGTACACAAAAAGCACATGAGTGAAGTCTACTATGTACAAAGTGCTCAAAAGTTCTACATGCCATTTGGATGTATGTGAGTGTATTTTACTAAAACTAGCAGATGAAAAATAGTAAAAATTTTCTAAACAGATCTTGTAATTTGAAACTTTCTGAAATTGTTCCATAGCTTTCTTATGGATTACTTAGAATTTTCTACATACAAATCGAGCTATTTGTAAACAGAGTCTTTTTTGGTTCCTTTCCAATCTGGATGACTTTTCTTTTCTTTTCTTTTCTTGGTTTTTTGTCTGGCCTAGAACTTCCAATACTATGTTGAACAAGAGTGGTGAGCGGGGCCATCCCAAACTTGTCCCTGACCTTAGTCTTTCATTCACAAGTATGATGTTACCTGTGGGTTTTATCAAATTTAAGGAGAGTGTCTTTATTATAAAAGGGGATGGAATTTTTCTGTGCCTCTTGAGATGACCATATGACTTTTGTCCTTTGTTAATAGTGTATGACATTGACCAATTTTTGTATGTGGAACCAAACTTTCATTCCTGGATAAATCTCACTCAGTCATGGTATAGTATTCCTTCTATGTGTTGCTGGGTTTTTGTTTCTTAGAATTTTATTGGGGTTTTTGCATTTATATTCAGAAGAGATATTAGTCTGTAATTTTCTTGTGAGATCTTTGCTTAGTTTTGATATCAAGGTAAAACTGGTCTCATGGAATGAGTTAAGAAATATTTCCTCTCCTTCTGTTTTTTTGGAGGAGTTGGTTAAGAATTTTCAATTCTTCTTTAGCCATTTGGTAGAATTTAGCAGTGAAGCCATCTGAGCCTGGGCTTTTCTCTGTAGTAAGTTTTTGGTTACTAACTCGCTCTTTTTGTTTTTACAGCCTTAGTCACCGTGTTTTTATTTCTTGTTGAGTCAGATTAGGAATTTTGTCTTCATCTAGGTGATTTAATTGATTGCATTCAGTCATTCACAGTATTCCTTTATGATGCTTTGCACTTCTGTAAAATTGGCTTATAAAATCCCCTTTCATTTCTGATTCTAGTAACTGAATTATCTTGTCCTTCTCTTCCCCTCTTCTCAGTCTAGCTTAAAAGTTTCTCATTTTGTTGATCTCTTTAAACAACCACTTTTTTGTTTCATTGATTTGTCTGTATTGCCTTTTTATTCTCCATTTCATTTATTTCTGCTATAGGCTTTTTTTCCTTCTTTCTACTTCCTTTGGATTTAGTTTGTACTTCCTTTTCTAGTTTTTAAGGTAAAAATTTACTGATTTGAGGGTAAAATTATGAAGACAGTAAAATAATTTGTGTTTGTCAAGGGTCTGGGCAGGGAGGAATAAACAGGTGGAGCTAAGAATTACGTTAAGCAGTGAGACTATCCTATAAGATTTATGATACTATTAACAGTGGATACATGTTATTACACATTTGTCAACCCTTAGAATGTACCACATCAAAAATGAAACCTGACATAAACTATGGGTTTGGAGTTACAATGATGTACCAATGGGCTCAGTGTGACAAAGGCGCCACTCTGGTAGGAGATATCAACAGTGAAGAGGGCTGTACATATGTAAGGATGGGGAGCTGTGGGAACTCTACCTTCTGCTCAATGTGCTGCAAACCTAAAATTGCTGTACAAATAGTCTAGTTTAAAAAAATCAAAAGTGAAAAACCAAACCAAAACAAAAAATTTCTCCTAGCATAAGGGCCCAGTCCCAGTTCAGTTTTTTTTTGTTTTTTGTTTTTTGTTTTGTTTTGCTTCGTTTTATTTTGTTTTGAGATAGAGTCTCACTACATAGTTCAGGTTGGCCTTGAACTCACTAT